GGAAACGACTCATGGCAACTTACAAAACTTCCAAAATGACTTATAGCCACCCACCTTCCAACATTGATAAAATGCATCTACTAGGTGAGCCCAGAACAACCAAACCATAGAATCTTAATTAGGATGACCATCCAACCATAAACATACCCAAATACAAAATAATAAGTAATGCGCACTATATTTGAGAGATCTTAAAATGTCCTTAATCAAAAGTTCTACGAGAATTGTAATTAACAATGGGAGATTTCGCCCATAGAAAACCAAGATCCCCCCAACTTAATTTTAACACCATATACGTCAAACTAATATCTAAAAAAAATCTATGGAAAGTAAAATAGCATCCCTCTGAAAACTCTAGGCTCCTTGGCATCCAAGCCCAAGACTAGGGAAGAATCACCCCCTTGAATTTCATAAATATTTTCAAAGCTAACATAATGTAATTGCTATCCTATTAAGACTCCCTTAGATCCATGACATGAAATTCATTCACAATGTAAAAGAAAACACTACAATTTTGAATATAACAGCACTAGGATTAAGTTATTTCTGTCCAAACGTGCAAAGTGCATAAACAGGTCTACAATTAATAAAATCTAATAGCACACATGAGTCATTGACAACTATGCTACACGTAATTTTTTATTCCCTTGAGTTCTTTTAGTTGATATTTTTTTATAAAACATAATATATGATATTACTAGATCTAGAATCCCATTATGTGGATCCCTTCAAACTCTTTGTGCAATCAAACTGTTTTTGTACGCAAAGTTTCTGCTTTTCCCTATTATGTTATTCTCCCTGCATTGCCACCTTTCCATTTGAGCATTCAAGGTAGATAAAGACATTCAACAACAATTACAACACCACAAATCCTGAAAATTGCCTTATATAACATGATATAAAAAGATAAGCCACCTGATGTGATGATTCTTTGATCAACCACAACGATCTGACATAGGTAGGACTACATTTACTCAATAATTATATGGGCAAAAATTCTACAATGGCAAGGTTTTCCAAACCTTGAGAGCGTGAGGATGCATGCAAGGAGAATCATTACCATTGAGATCACCTAGAGAATCATTCTTAGGGAGAGGCTGAGAGCACGTGAAGAGTGAGGCGAGAGAGGTCACAGCGAGAATGAGTAGTTCCGGTATAGAAGGAAGAAATATGAGAGAGAGAGAGAGAGAGAGAGAGAGAGAGAGGAGGGGAGGAGAAGTCAAATTAGCCTCATTATCAAGACATGTAGTCCTCATGTAAAATCCATGACATCCTCTCATAGACAAAATAAGTTAAGACTATCCCAGAACGGCTTCTATAAGTGTCTCCTCAAAGTTCAAGGCAAGGTTCATTATGCAAGCTTCTAATTTCATTCACTGTCATTACGGGGTCCCAAGCCCCGGATGTGAAAAGTTAAGTGGCATTAAGTAGTCGGTAGTCGGCGTAAAATTTATCGAAAAATCATGACATAATCATTTGGATCATTATGTAAATGCTAGGGTGTGTTGTATGGCCTGAACACACTGAAAAATATGTAAGGGCTTCTACACCGTCACCTAAGTGTAGTGTCAGATAAACAATGGTTCCCACATTACGAAGGATGATGGTAAAGAATTTAGTTCATGAAACTAATATTAGAATAGAATCTTCAAATAAATGTACTCTCACAGGTAAGTTAATAAAATTAGTTGATACTATGATTAATAGAAAAATAAATATATTATGTATTCAGGAAATTAAATGGGTTGGAGAAAAGACTTAGGAGATTGATAGCTTAGGTTTTAAACTTTGGTATTCAAGTAAGAGTCGCATGTGTGTATAATTATTGATAAGAGTTTGAAAGATAATATTGTAAAAATTAATAGAATTAAAGATATAATTATAGCTCTTAAGATTATTATTAATAGAATGATTTTTAATATTATAAGTGTTTATGCTCCCCAATTAAATATAAGTTCAAAAAAAAATTATTGAATGATCTAGAATAAGTAATATAAATGATACATCTTGAAGAACGAACTTTTATTGGAGGAGATTTAAATGGACATATCGGTAGAGTGGTAGAAGATTTTAGAAATATTCATGGTGGCTACGGTTTTGGAGTGATTAATGAAAAAGATAAAACCATATTAAATTTTGTTTTAGCTTATGATTTTGTTATTGCTAATACTTTATTCAATAAAAGATGAGAGCATATTATTTCTTATAATAATGAATCTAATAAAATATAAATTGATTGGTTTTTAATGAGAAAAAGATATCGTCGAGAATGTAAAAATTGTAACATCATTCCAAGTGAGAATTTAAGTACTCAACATCGATTATTAGTTTTCTATTTTAATATGAAGAGTTGTAAAATAAAAAATACTATGAATCATTATCATAGAAATAAAAATATTTTTATGAATAAGCTTCAAGATTTCAAGATTTGGGAATTTCAAGAAGATACAAAATCTATGTAGAATAAATTAACAAACATTATAAACAAGTGACAAAAGATGTACTTGGATAATCAAAAGGAAAAGTTTTTATAAATAAAAGTAATTTGTGGTGAAAAAATAATGTGCAAGCAAAGATCAAATATAAAAAATTATGTTATAAAATTTGATTTAAATGTAAAATTTTAGAGAACTAGAAAAAATATAAAATGACCCATAGGGAGTCTAAGAGGACAGTTTATGATGCCAAAAATTTTGTTTTTTGTGATCTTTATAATATATTAGAAACCAAATATGGTGAATAGATATATATATATATATAAACTAAAACAAAGAGAAAAGAAAAGTAAAGATTTAACGCAACTAAAGCGTATTAAGAAATAATTTACTTAAAAAAAGACGTTCAACACAGGTGGATGAGTTATTTTGAAAGTGTATTAAAGATGAAAATTAAGAAATAATTTTCTTAGAAAAAGACGTTCAACACAGGTGGATGAGTTATTTTGATAAATTTTTCAATGAAGTTTCTGAAAATACAATCGACCTTAGTAATCTTAATATTATTAATAATAAAATAATATTTCATTTTTACAATCGTACTAGTAAAGGAGTTAAGGAGCCTTTAAAGAAAACTAAGGGCAAAAAATTTGTAGGGTCTGATGATATCCCAATTGAAGTGTAGAAATATTTAAAATATTGGGGAGTTTCTTGACTTACTAAACTCTTTCATATTATTTTAAAAACTAAAAAGATGTTTGGGGAGCGGAGGAAGGGTACTTTGGTCTCCATGTCTAAAGAATAAAGGGGATGCACAAGAGTGTGCAAACTATAGAGGAATTAAATTGATGTGTCATACTTTAAAATTATAAGAGAGGGTAATTGAACATAGATTAAGACATATTACAAAGATTTCTCATAATCAATTTGGATTTATGTCAGCAGATCTACTATGAAAGCTATATATTTATTGAAAGGTTTGATGGAGAAATACAAAAACAATAGGAGGATCTACATATTATTTTTGTTGATTTAAAAAAAACATACAATAAGGTTCCAAGAGATATCCTTTAGAGAGTTCTAGAGAAGAAAAGTGTTGATATGACTCAAGTCATTAAAGATATTTATACCAAAGTTGTTACTTTTGTTTGAACAGAAGGAGAATTGACCAAATATTTTTTTACTTTAGTTGGTTTACATCATGGATCAGTTTTAAGCCCATAACTTTTTGCTTAGTTAGGGATGCTCTTACTGGACATTTATAGGAGGATGTACCTTGGTGTATGTTATTCGTTGATGATATCTTTCTTGAGACTAGAGAAAGAGCCCACGAAAAACTTGAATTATGAAGGATTCTAACGGCCTTTGTTTGAGTAGAACTAAAACAGAATACATGCCACTAAAAACTTGAATTATGAAGGATTCTAACGGCCTTCGTTTGAGTAGAACTAAAACCGAATACATGGAATGTAATTTTAGTAGTAGTAGCTCTATTGACGGAGTTGTAACTATGGATGATTAAATTATTAAAAGGAGTAAACGTTTTAGATATCTCGATTCTATTGTTCAAAGTGATAGTGATTCAAGTAAGTTGGTTGAAGTGGAGGAATGCTTCGGGCCTATTGAATGATATAAAAGTACCACTTAGACTGAAAAGAAAATTTTATAGGATGGTGCAGAGACTTGCAATGCTATATGGCGCAGAATGTTGGCCTTTAAAAGAAAAGCATAACATTATGCTAAGTGTTGTCGAGATGAGAATGCTTAGGTGGATAAGTGGCCTTAGACTTACAAACAAAATGTGAAATGAATATATTTGTGATAGCGTTGGTGTTGCTCCAGTGATGGATAAAATTAGAGAGACGTCTTAGATGGTTTAGTCACATTAAACAACGGTCATCTGATGATCAAGTAAGGAGAGTAGATGTTTTAGATTCGACTTATGTTAAGAAATGGCAGAAGTATACCTAGAAAGATTTTGGCATATTGTATAAAAAATGGTCTTAATTTATTAGAATTAAATGAAAACATGGCACTCAATAGGTCATAATGGAGAAAAAGGATTCATGTAGCCGACCCCACCTAGTGGGATAAAGGCTTATTCTTGTTGTTGCAATAGAATTAATATATGTAAGAGTTTAAACACAAGAATGTCACTAAAAATACACCCTCAAATTCAACTTTACAAACGGAATGAAGTTCTTTTTGTAAATTTCCACTCCACGTTCGCTAAGAAGATGTGGAAAGTTACTCAAATTGGATCAATCCTACTATGAAAGTTCCTAAATCATCTGATATCACAATAGTAGCCACAGAAGCCCCTGAATTCAAACCCATTAAAAGATTAATTTATGCCATAGTTTTTGCCTCTTGGAAGTCATCCAAAGTGACTAAAACAGAAGATTAAAAAATGGTTGATAATTTCATTACGAAGGATATAGAAGAGTTATGAAGATGAAAATTGTAATTGCAATGTCCAAGAAAGATTATCTCTAATGTATGTAATGCAGGATATGCTCTGCTAAAAAGATAAAAAGCATTGGATGTATAATGTCTTCTCCTTACAGTGGTTTTTACATCAGTATAATCTTTCTGCATTGAAGTTGCCTTCTCACGGAGAACCTGCAGTTTAAAACAACTGTGTTTATGAATTGGAAAAAAACTTCTAATATAAGCGCTAAAAGAAGGTTTAAAATCCCGAAAAACTTAAGGTAAAAAGCATGTAAGAGGGGGAAGTTGTATAGAATTTGCACACCTGCACAACTTCTTCAAAGTGAAGATCTCGAATGTCCTTGTACAATTTATCACTGAAAAAAAAACGCAAAAAAGAAATATTATAAAATAGCAAACGGAATGTAACGACATACAAACTAGCCGTAGTTGTTTCGAAGCATGAAATTTATTAAAAGCAAGTACTTTGATATGGTTGGAAGTAAGAAAAAGGAGTTTCAGTGGAATGAAAAATTGAAGTTCTTTTAAAAGAAAAGGCTAGAACATTGCAACTAAATTGCTAAGCAATAACTTTCTATAACATTGACCGAACCTCATATTGCAAATTCAAATTTTAGGAAGCAAAAACTAGATAAATCATATGATCATGAACTTTCCAAGAACTCGATGCAGAACAAATAGGGTAATTTCTCATCCAGAAAAAAAGAAAATTATTCATTTACGAAAAGTTTCCTTCATTAAAATGTATTATAATTACACCATCATCATCATCAAGATGAAGACACGAAGAAAATTCAATCATAACCACCGCCATCTATCAATAGAAAGAAATCATCGTCAACAGTGGAATGAAAGTGTTATCTTTATTGAAGGTGGCATAAGTTTAAGCATCATAAAATCAATTATATGGCTCCACAGTCTTATCAAATAGGCTTGGTCAAATTGTGCAAGCATGGCAGAATGCATGGACATCCACCCCTCTCCAACTTCCATGAAGATTATATTGAAATAAATAAGAATATAAATGGTAATTCAAAGATCAAGATACAATCATATTTTATTTTCGAATAATTTATACAAGGAATCAAACAATAAACTAATCAAATAATATAGTTTATGTTTTTTTTTTTTTTATGGCTTTTGGTAAGTGTTTTTGGTGTATTTTGTATGCAGTAAATATGTAATAGCTTTGTAGTAAAAACATACTTAGTTGATTTATGTTGGAGCATTGCTACTATGCATTGAAAATAGTAGAACATGGTGATTCCCTACTTCATGGAGACTTTAGTGAGTCTTCCATTATCTTCATAATATTGCATATTGTTCTTCTAAAAAATATCTATTTTTCTATATTTATATCATCTTTATGTTGTTATGCGTAGCCCACCCTCCTCAATCAAGAAAAGTGCTAAGCGGATGGAAAAATGCTTGAAACAGAAAATTTTGCACATAGATGAAGTATAACTACCTGGAATTAAGTGGAACCTTAACTTTATTCCTTTCTTGCTGAGCTCCAATAATAGAAGCATCTACCTCCACTGCGCCATTGTTCACTTGTAATATCTGTACTGAAAAAGACAGAAAATCTTCAGACAATATGGGAATCATTTAATATTGTAAGTATGTTGAACTCATATGAATTCCACATTATATTTTTCCTTGAAAACAGAAAAAATTTTGAAGAAAAGAGTAAACAACTGTCATGGACTCTTCATCTTTAAGATTAGAAGTGACAATTGACTCGTCGATAAATATTAAAAAAAATACTTTTAGAAAAACTTTGTGCGTCTTCTGGTGTTTAAATTTCCTATATCAGTTCAGCTTGTGTACATTATTGCAAAATTTTTTAAACAAATTTCTAACAATACCTCAGGCATTTTTCTACATTTTTACATCTTCATTCAACTCATTCCCTTTAATTTGTTACCAACCACTCCATGATTGTGTTATGTATTAGAAAAAGTGACATTTAAAATCACATAAACATTTGATAATTTACAGTTTTTAAAACACAGTGAAATTCAATGAAAGGAGATAATAACTGTTCCCACATATTTATAAACTATTCGTGCATATAAGTGCTTAGAAATTCTGTAGAATTTGCGGTGTCAACCTCGTCCAATAATCCTTCATAAGTCAATTGAAAGCACATTGGTGTCACCATATCCACCTGCACGAAAGAAATTACAAATTAAGTAGTCTGGCAAGCTTGGCAAACTCACAAATTAAATCCTTAAAAGAACATGAATAATCAAGAAAGAAGATCGGATCAACAATTTTGCTAACTATATCTGATAAAGTTAGAAACTGTCAAAAAGAAAAGCATAAATTAAAAGGGGGCGTTTAAATAAATATCACCCAATTCCTACATATTTACATAACTAACACCTAAACTTCGTTTTTTACAACGATACCACACAAATCTTTCCTATCACATCAAAAATATTGTTGATTTTCATAATTGAGCGGAATTATTTTATTAATACGAAAAGAGGGTATAAATACCCTCACATGAATCTTATAATATGAAAGACGAGAAAAAAGAAATAAAACTGAAAGGAAAGATATAACTCCTATATCTACAATTAATTAATTCATAATAATTACTTGGACGTAAAGAAAATGGCATAATATAGAAAAACCTAAAATATGAAAGGAAATAAATTCAATCCAAGGAAATAAATTCAATCCTCGCTAAGTTTAACGAGAACAAATTATTTCCTAATATAATTTCTAACACTATTCCACAAGTTGAAACATTGTTGACAATCATGTTCAACTTGGATTTGAAAATATCAAACAATGGAGTGAGGATGATTCATTGTGAGGTAGAACTTGAAGTCTTTATCCCGTACTTGATAATCAACCCCAAGAGCATTTAGAGATATTTTTAGTTAACTATAGTTGTCTTTGACTGTCGTTTGTGCAGTATCTGTAGGCAGGTGGAAGACTCCTGCAAGTAATGTTGCATGAAAGTTTGCAGGAAAGTAAACAAATTACAGGAAAAGATGCAGGGCATGGTCTGCAAGAAAAAAACTTCGAACGAGTGTCTGTTGCAGAAAAAACATCCAGATGAGGGTCTGTTGCAAGAAAAAGCTACGGAGGAAGATATGTTGCAAGAAAAAGCTGAGGGTCTGGTGCAAGAAAAAGGTTTCGGAAGAGAACCTGTTGCAGGGAGAAGCTCTGAATGGAGCTCTTACTGCGTGCGGATGGCGCACGCATCTTGCGTGCGTCGTCCAATGAAATTAATAAAAAAAATTAAAAAGTGGGCCCACTGACATACACTTTTTGGTAAAAGATGAGTTTTTATTGGCCCACCGCACGCATCTCTGCGTGCGGTGGGCGGACGCAATAATTTTACGTAGAACAGTTAAATGAGGATCTGCTGCAGTAAAGAACTTCGAAGGAGGGCCTTCTGCAAGAGCTTCAAAAGTTTTGGAGGGCCTGCGGCAAGAAAAAGCTTCAAAGAATCACTTCAATGGTGCTTAAATCAGTGAAATTGTTGTGTGAAGTTTCACAAGAGCGCTGCACTTGCTCTATGCATGGAGAGAAAGAGCAAAGAAAAACATCATGTTTTAACACTTTTGATGCAGAGGGCGACGCTAACCATGGGTGTGAAAGGTCAAGGAAGGCGAAGTCCGCAACTCTATAAAAGTCATTAGGGAAGACTTCTCCTTAGATATCCCTAACATAAACAATAATAAAGCTTCCCAGCCCATTCATATTGAAATCTTCCCAAGCCAGCATTGTCCTTTGCTCATGAAAATCAAATGTATAGACATAGCCAGAATGTGCACAGCACCAGCAACACTAATTAGAGAACCACTACCAGTCCCTGACTCCAAAACCACACGGCCCGGAACAGTTTCCAGGTAAGATATCACAAAACTAATATCATCAAATTATAAAATCCAAGTACTGTGACTGATAACCAAAGTCCACAACTCAGATGTTGGAAATAAGAGATGAACAAAACGACCCTTATTGATGAATACCTTGGAACCAAAAGGTTTCCCTATACAGTCAGTATGCCTATCTATTTTGGGAGTCAAAACCCTCATTTATTTTGATAGCTTTCATGTTATGATGTCTCTCATACAAAATCACCATATAGACATCACAGATGTCGCGCTGAAATGCATTCCTTTTTGATGGATTTGCTGAAAAAATCCTCATGCTAAAACATGCAATCTATCGCTAATACCCAATATGTTCCACAAAAACATTATTTTTTCTTCTGAAAGTGAATCATTGGGTCTTAATAGTAGTATATCAATTCAAAGGGGTCGTGATACATGATTGTGAAACTGAAATTAAATCATGGGTAATTTAGGAAGAGAAAAAGAACAGTTTCAAGGGGCAGTGGTGTCTCCTCGTTGGTAGTTGAGTAACGTCGAGAATGGAAAGGACGCGTGAAGGAAAAGGCAAGCAAAGATGACAGATTAGATTCTAGAGAAAGGTGTCCGAGTTTAGGGTATGGGTGGTTCAGTGGCTGGTATTGCACTTGGATTATATTAATTTCAACAATTTCAGCGTCAACATGGAGATACGGATGCAGTGAAAAGACTGCAGGAAGATGAACCTCCACTAAGAAAGCCTGTAGCAACTTGCAAACTGCATGAAGTTTTCAAGCCGGTAGAGAGGATTTCCGGATGCTAGGGACCTGTGAGGACAGAGTTTCATCAGCTAGTTCCTGCAAGGAGTTTCGGCGGCTAGGGCCAGCATAAAGAGGAAGCTTCGGATGCCTAGGCCCTGCAGGGAGAGGGTCCCAGAGGTGTAAAAGGCTGCAAAAGGGAGTCCCGACGATGGGAAAGGCTGCAAGAGGGAATTCTAGAATCGAGAAAGGCTGCAGAAGGAAATTACGGTGACGGGGCCTGTAGGGAGAGGAAGTTTCCAGTGGAAAAAAATGAAAAGAAGAGGCGGAGGAAGGGCCTTCAGCACAGCAAAGATTGTCGAAGGCAAGGAATAGGAAGTTTACGGCGGCAAGAGATTACAGGATTTGTTTCAAATCTTTGATACCATGTTGATTTTCAGAATTCAATGAAATTTTTTTATTGATATGAAAGAGGGTATAAATACCTGTATATGAATCTTAGAATAGAAAAGACAAGAAAAGGGAATCAACATGAAAGAAAAGATATGACACATATATATCTAATTAATTCATTCATAATAATTGCTTGGATATAAAATGAACCATGGTAAGAAAATAAATCTAAAATAGGAAAGGAAAGAAATTTATTCCAAGAAAATAAATCTAATCCTCATAACTTTTAACGGGAATAAATTATTTCTTAATATAACTTAACAAATACCCCCCATTTTAATTAAAAAAAAAATTTAAATACACCTGTTCATCATAGGCAAGATGGCATGAATGTAAAAATTGAAGTTTAGGGGTTAGATATATCAATACATAGGAATTGAATGGTATGTATGTAAATAGTTCAAATTAAAATCAAATGCAACTTGAGAGGAAGTTACATACTTGTAAAATTCATCACCATCATCTGTAAGGCCTTCTACAATTATCCTTATTCAGTGCTATGTCGTGCCAAATCTAGTTTACCTAGTTGTATGTAAAAGTTGTTTGCTATGTAAAAACATAAGAATTGAGTGTTATGTAAGTAAATCTTCCAAAACATTTTTACATTCTTATTTACGCCACTCTAAATTTTTCAATATGTGACTTCTTCGTTGTATGCACTCTAATTCATATAGCATAGCCAACATAAATGAAAAAAAAATGCAGTGTGCATTCTTTAATTTTTGCTTGCTCAATAAATACTATAGGAACATGTTGCCTGCTAAGAATATGAAATGAATGGGTTTTTGAAAATTGATTTGAATAATTAAAGCCAAATGTAAAGGGAATTACTTGAAGGAAAATTCAAAAGCATTAAAACCTCAGTCATTCCAAAGCAACTTTATAAATCAGGTAGAAAGATTTAACAAATTGAAGAGCAGTTATATAAGTGGTGCTATGAACAAATTTTAAATAAACAAATAGAGTATTTACCTCCCTGTCAACCAAGATAAGCATATTTATCTCCGGAGTCCCCATCTGGAGCGTGGTAGTATTAGTTTAATTATTTTGGAAGATAGTGGTATTACAGTATGCAGTAAATCCAAAATTAAGTAAGAACAAAAAGGTAAGGATTTTAACAAAAAATTACATCAGAAGCATTCACTGGCTCTTCCACTTGCAAACTATTCAAAATGTCAACAATTTTTGCTGATCCTTTTCCTTTGGCCCGGACAGTAGGTATAACTCCAAATGAAAACTGAAAATTTAAAATTACACCTCCTTCAGAAAAAGTAACAAGTGCAGATCGAATTGAATGTTGCAATGTAAGTTAAAAAAATGCCAACTTCACCATATTTTTCGTTAATAACCTTATTCCAACTATTAATAAAACTAAGCATAAGCTCACAATCAAACATGGATTGAAAATCTAACATCCAAAAGAGAGATGGATACCTCTAGTTTATGAATGGCATTTGCAACATGCCAAAGAGCACTTGTATCACCATCGATTACACATTCCTTAACAAAATAAAAAGTAAAGCCAATCTAGACTTAATAACAATGTGACAAAATAAATTTTAGATTATCATTTTGAGTACCCCGAAAGCTAGGTCAAGTTCACATGATAAAACATCTTCATCCACTGGCAAGATGTACAAGGGGTACTCTCCAAAAGTAATTAAATGATGGACTTTCTCCTCCTCTAAAATCTGCACCAATAAGGATTATACATAAAAAGGTCATTTTTATTATAATATAAAAATGAACTAACTAAACTGTTAAACTTGGATATTTAATATTTATATTTAACATTTATGTATGTGTCTATTCTTTTGTCATCCATAATAAAAAGTTCAAAGTATATTATTTTACTTAATTTAATATTAAGTTTATTTAAATGAATATTCATAACTCAATCTATTAAATTATAATAAAAAACTAAAGAGTATTTTTTTAAAAGTATGATTGTGCCCCCAAAAAAATATTTATTGACTTAACCATTGCACATACTAGCATTTATGCACATCAACTGAGATAAAATAACAAGCAAATAGGAGATTCAATAGCTTCAACTTTAATTGGACTGTAGTACTAGCAGCATAATCCAATTCTTCTAAGATTGAACAGTATCCAGTGAAGATTATATTAAAAAAGAATGCTGATATACTAGGGATCATGAGGTCGGGACAGAAATGGTACAGATAGCAAATATTTACTAGAGCTGTTGAAATGTATAAATAAAATGACTGCTTCAACATTGTTAAAATGTGAAATTATTCTATTTCTTTCTTTCAAAATTTCATTTATGTTAGCATTTTACCTTAAAAGCATATGCAATGCCCAGGGATATAAACATAAATGCATTAATTACAGAAATTTTCAATATTAATCCATACGAAAATTTACTTACATAACACTCAATTCATATCTAACATCTAAACTTCAATTTTTTACATATATACCATCCTACCTATGCATGAAAAGTTGCACTTCACCTTTTAAAAGTTAAAATAGCAGTATTTTTTATGTGCAATGAAAATTTTGGGTGGCATAAATGTCAAAAGTAAAATTTAGCTGTTAGATATGTAAATACATAGGAATTGGGTGGTACACCTCTAATGCATATAGTGAACTCAAGTGTAATGGTAGCAGAAACACCTAGGTGGTATGTCTGAGAGTGGAAGGAAACACGTAGGATGTACGAAAGATATTAGAAGGAAACATGTAGTAAGACAATGGTAGAAAAAGGAGAACGAAAGCGCAGCTAGTTCATAAAACCTGCCGAAGGAAAGGACAAAAGGTGGCGCTGATGCAAATTGATGAGCTCAGCTATTTTGCAAGAGTTTGAAGGAGCAAATAGAACCTTGTCCAAAATTGCACGGAAATTTTAAGGGGCATTTACATAGCATATCACCCAATTCCTACCTATTTACATATCAGACACCTAAACTTTACTTTTTACATTTATAAAGCCCAAATTTTTCATATCATATCAAAAATACCGCTAATTAAAGTGAAATACACCTTTTCATGCATAGGTTAAGTGGCATATATGTAAAAATTGATTTTTTTTTTTTTTGTGTTAGATATGTAAATCCATAGGAATTGACTGGTATGCGTGTAAATCATGTTGCCCTAAAAATGCAAGATACGTGCATTCGTTAAATTTGACAATGTTGCCGCGAATTTTTTTTTATGATCAGTTTTTGCTGTATTTCATTACTAAAGAAGATGAGTCCTCTGAAAACATTTAAAAAAAAATTCTTGATGAGAAAATGGAAAAGAGAAACTCCGCATGTTTCCACTTTAGGCTTTCGTATAAGTTCATCGTAAGAATTTGTTTGTAGTGATTACCATATGTTCAACCTAATCCAACTATTTTGTGTTGGTTCTTTCATGCCATTATCACTACTCCCTACTGCAAGAGTGAAAAAGGTCTTGATTCTAATTTAGCTAAATCCTTTATGTAATCTTCTACCGTGATAGCCATATCATACACTATTTCTTCAAAATGCTTTAGCATTAACTTCATAACGCACCTTATTGGCACTTCTTTTTGTTACAAATCCCAAGTCTTCGCAATATATTTTCTAAAACCACATCCAATGCACCGTAAGCACACACTATATCCCACATACCCACTAGTTTTTTATCCTTCCTAACTTAGTAGTTTGTGCCCCATTCTTCTTAAAATCATCACTTTTTCTACATTTAAAAAACATTTATATGTCAATATTAATTATAAGTTTGGTATAGTTAACACAAGTTCCATGGAACAAAACAAAAGTGTAATCTTCACGACATTATTTTCGTTTTCAATTAATCATGTACTTGTAAGAAGATAGATAAAAAAACAACAATCGGCATTTGGGGAAAAGATAGGATCAATGATTCAAGCATATGCATTAGATTTGTTTTAAAACTAATGCAATATACTATCAAGCGAAAAGATAGGATCAATGATTCAAGACATATGCATTAGATTTGTTTTAAAATGAATGCAATATACTCTTCGGTTGATTTGTCGTTTATTGTACCCATTTCAAAAAACCTAATGAGTATAAAATGCATTCTAACAAAAATTTAGTTAGGATGACTATATATATAGATATATATTATTCAGGTCATCCTAACTAAATTTTTGTTAGGCAAAATCAATATGTTTCAAAGTTCAATGATATTGAATGATATTCAAAATAAGCACATCAAGTGAAAAATAGAGTGAGCCCAACCAAAATGGGCAAGGCCATGGGGACATTTTCAACAGACCGCCCAATTCCTATGTATTTATGCATCTAACACTTAAACTTTATTTTATACATTTATGCCACCCAAATCTTCTATATCAAATAAATAATACCACTTTTTTAACATTTAAAAAGTAAAATACACAATTTCCTGCATATGAAAGGTGGAATATATGCAAGTATTAAATTTTAGGTGTTAGATATGTAGACACGTAGGAATTGAGTAGTATGTATGTAAATCTTCCAAATTTTAGGTGTTAGATATGTAGACACGTAGAAATTGAGTAGTATGTATGTAAATCTTCCAAAATACTAAAACTTTACAAGCAAACCTTTTCACAAACAACTGTGCGACGTGGGACAAAATAAACATAGTACTCCTTCTGCAGCCCTTTTGAAACATCATTCTGAATGTGGGATGAAATGAACTTCATCAAGTTCAGCTGAGGACGAACAAGATACAGGACTTTGGAGCATTCTGTTTGAACAGGTTCAGCATGCCGCAATTCTGTGCCATTCTCCTGTTTCAGTGCCAGAGCGCAATAAATCACCACAAGGACGTTGCCATTTGTTGTCTTACTAGAGCTTCTTCAAGCTCAAAAGTCACACAAAAATACATGATCTTTATTCCCAGAAATACATCACCTTTAGCAGAGAAGTTTGGATGAGCAGTGAAAGTGAACCCCCGAGCTTAGGATCGATGACGAGACACTTCTTCCCGCGAACCTGTGAGCATATAGAAGTTTGAGTACTAAAGGAAATATTCGGCGACTTGAAATCACGGGGTAAACAAACAGGGAGAAACCAACATTCTTAAGAACGTTAAGAAGCTCCTTCTGCGAACGCTCTCTGCATCAAATATTTAAATTAAAAAAAAACAAAACAATCGGTTTGCTGGATAGAAAATTGGTCGGAAGTTGCCCAGAGAAGGAGGATAGTGTACCTGAGCGCCGTGAAATTGACAGGGGCGTTATCGAGATTCGGGATCTGCGCCATTTCGAGAGGCGAATTCCACTCGTCTTCTCTCTTCTAAGATATAAAAATGGAAGGGGTTACGGGTGAAGCGGACCAACACCGGCCATATGAACAGTGTGCAGTAGTCCTCGCACTGGCTGTTTCGTAGGACGGGTGAAGCGGACCAACACCAGTGTGCAGTAGTCCTCGCACTGGCTGTTTCGTAGCCCGTTTTAAGCAAGATTTGCTCGGGATTTAGGCTAAATCCTGCCAATTGTAAGAAATTGCATCCATCGGATTGGAGTTTCGGAGGACTTTGTGCTTCGCGATGTCGGCTTTGCTTTACCAGCTTGACATTTCGGTCACGAAGGCGATGGTTTCGGGCAAAACCTGTAAAGTGGGGGAAGACTCGGCAAGGGTTTCGGGTAGGAGAGAGGTGGGAGAGGAACATGATTTCGTCTTTAATTTGATTTAATGTAAGTTAGCTTAAATAATTAATAATTAATTTATATATTATCAAATTAGTTTTAATTAAAGTAGTGTTTGAAAATCACGTCTTTTCTGTGTTTTTGAGAACAGCTTTTTTTATTTACGTTACACGACTAATTACTTATTAACTAATGATATTTATATTATTATTGAACTTCTTTATATTAGTAAAATTATTATTAATGATGAATTTGTTTAATAAATATATTTATTTATCGGTGTAGTTATAAATGAATTAATTAAAGTAAACTCCTTTAGAATAAAATAGTTATATCATTAATATTTATTATTAAGCTTTTAACTCTAAAACATTTAGAAATAATATGATTGTTTTTTAAGACATTTGAAGTGCGGGAAATATGTTTTTGACACAAATTTGCTTCTAAAATTATTAACAACTTAAATCCTGCTAAAAGTTGTCAAAAAAAATTTAGGATTTATTAAGATTTATTTATTAACATTATGATCATTTTTTTTAATTTAATCTTTTTAGGATTTGATAAATATGAATTTACAGCATTTATTTAATCCAACTTGCAAATAGAAAAAAATTATCCTTTATGATGTGACAAAATAAACAAGCCGCACAACTGCCTTCTCAATTAAAACTCAACCTCATAAAATTAGAGCTTTGATTCTAAGTTAAACTAAACACTTCTTGCAACCAAATATTTCCTTCATGATATGAAAATGTGAACAAGCGGCGTAATGTTAAATTAGGTGAAATTGGCAAGGTAATGTTAATTGTCTGCTCTGGTAAGACTTTGGGCCCGTTTGGGGCTGTTTTTTTGGTGCGGTGGCGTTTTGAAAACGCACCTGTCCTGTTTAGGTAAATTACGTTTTGGCAGTTTATGCGTTTTCAAAACACATAAAACAGAGTTTCCATACCGCACATATCTAAGTGCGGTGGGAGCTTATTGGCAATGATCTGACTTTTCAAAAAAAATAAAAATTTATAACAGCCACTGCACCTAGCTTATCAGCAGATTATTCAATAAGCTACAGTTGCCCCAAACAAACCCTTTACCTCATAAAAATCATACATTGAATTCCAACTTTCAATTGAGATTGGCAGCATGCTAATGTTAGATTAGGCCTTAGTTAAAAGAGATGGAAAGGTGACTTGGCTCCAATGGCGAAATTGAGATGGGGAATGCTAGTCGTAGTGATAGTGGGATGTCGAATGACCGTTAAACCAGACCAGGGACAAGGTTCCATAAATGTTATGCCAATTTGTCCCACTCCCTTTCCTAGCCTGCTCTGCAGTTGTCTCTATAGGGAAAAAATGTCTAATGTTTAAAATATAAATATTTTCGTTATATTACTTATAACAATCTTAATTGATTAAAATATCATTGTATATTTATTATCAAAATGTCATTGTATTGTCATCATCTGACACGAATCTCGAGGCATGACACAGATTTCAAGGCTATATTTTGAATAAGAATCTTTCAATTTTTGATAAAAAGTAATTCAGAACTCCAATTTCAGCAAACTTATAGTCAAACTGACCAGCTCGATGAGATTGACATAATGACATCAAATTCATTCCAATCCGAGTCAAATCAAGCCCAGATCAAGTCATTAAACAACTTTTAAAAGATTTTCAAACAAATTCGAAAGATCAAATAGATTTCGACACTAGCAAGCCTACACTCAAATCGAGCGTCTCGACAAGATAAATCCAATGAACCCAATATTGCACGATTCTTATATCGTTAAGGCATTCAAATGTTTGTTAAACGTCATTTGATCCGAGGAAGCTCTTCGAACCATCCGATCAAAACGGTTCATAATTATGCATTACTGACGCTCAGAACACCATAAAAAGACCCATGACTTGCATTAGAAAGGGGGCATAAGCCTTGGGAGAGAACTTGAGGCTTTGAGAAGAAGCTGAAGTCCAACACCACCGTCGCTGCCGACCGTCATCGACCACGGCTGATCGCCATCGACCCTCACCGACCGTTGTTCGCCGACGGTCATCCACCACTGCTGATCATTGTCAACCACCGCTGACCATACATCGTCAGTCAACATCGTAACTTGGAAAATCTTGTAACCTGATCCATATTTTGATATGTAAGGATTTATGAAGTTGACACCACTACAGCGCAAAAAACTTGATCCTTATGTGAAAAGTAAGTTGTGTAAAATATATATAATTATCGGCAAATAATAATGGGATTCTACGCAAGTATGCGTATCGTTATCAAGTAATAATGGATTTTATATTTAAGCCCCAAATATCGATCACACGGGGAAGGAGCAAGTTAGCATTGATAAATTTTAACATAAAATCAAACAAAATCACTCTCACTAATTTTAAATGTTGAGATATTAACCAAACTAAATTACTTAAATATTAGCAAAATGGAAATGCAAATTTTGAATAATAACTACCAATCTACTAACTATGTTTATGTAATGAAGATTTCTTATGTGAAAAAACATCATTCCCACTACAATGAAATTCTGGTGAATTGAGATGAGATAAATGTTTATAATATGTATTGTGTCAAATAGGAGTAATTTTAAGTTTCTACCCTGATACAGTGCATGGAAAATCATTGGTTAATCTTAGGTTTAGTCCCTAAATATGTGGTTAGGCTAGGAGGATACAAGCTCCCACTTCCTTTCACCTGAAGACTAACTCTAGGTTTAGTTTTTAAACACTAAGATCAAATTGGATATTTTAGTTTATCACCCTAAAGATTCTCCAATTCTACACCCAACAAATAATATTTTCCTATTTATTTGCACTTAATTTCTTGAACGAATTTCTCCTTAATGAAATCAAATGTGACTCTCACTATGTTGTAGAACTCTTACTTCCTTTCCCGGATTATATGTTTCACAATCTATTTTAACAAATCAATTGGTCAGATTGAAAAGTAAATTAAGTTCGGAGTTGAAAAATCATCACAATTTATTTTATATTTTAATTATGTCACATCCATTTTATCTCTTCATTTCACCATATCTTAGAGTAAGGGGAAAGATAGAGTGAACTACTCAGATTTCATGAGAAAGATATGACAAAACATAAATTTCATATATAAAAGAAAGTTCTTACAACACTAAATAAACAAACAAACTTATCTGGAACTCTTTCTCAAAGCAAATCCTTTGTAGCATTTCCTTAGAAATGCAGAAAGAAAAACTCTCACTTTTCAACACTTTTACATAAAGTTTCACACTAAATATCACCACAAAAACTCTAAACTATGAAAGCAAAATCACTAATTGACTTCAATATGGTGGTGGAATGAAGATGGATTATGAAAGTGTGGCGTGGTGGAACGTTGTGGAGCGAAAAATGAACGTATAGGAGCTCCTTTTATGATGAAATTTGGCCCTAAATAAAGCCCAAGGTCGATTATCCAAGAGGTTCCTAAAAAAACTCTTCAAAAATCTTTCAAATACATCGAACCTTTTAGAAACGGGGTCTGAACCGCCTTTAGCGGCGGCTGCTTTAGCGTCGTCAGCACTGAGTAAAAATTCCTCAACGACGTTGAGTATTTCCTCAAAAATGTCATTTTAACTCCAAATTTCATTATTTTTGTTTTCTTTTTGCTTTAAGCCCTAACTTTTTGCTTTAAGCCCTAAAAATTGTTTTCTTTTTGCTTTAAGCCCTAAAAATCAACATGTAAGAAAGCATCAAAATAACTTTCATTAAAGTGCAATATCACAAAAAATAACTATAAATTATGGGTCTAAAAATGCATATATTTTCGGTGTATCAAAATCCCTCAAACTTACATGTTACTTGTCCTCAAGTAACTTCTCTACTACATAAAAATATGAATTAAGGTAATGAATTTAACTTTTAGACTTCCATATTTTAGTTCTCTAAACATAATAATTTAACTTAAGAAAAATTCAAAACAATTCTAGTTGATACTAAAGGTGTAAAGATATTCAGTAATTAAGTCTAAGGTTTTTATCCTCTATTTCTTTCAAGAAAAATTGCAATTTGTTATATTAAAGTCACTTATTAAATTCATATGAAAAATAACTTCATAAAACTTTATTAATAATTAAGTTAATATTCAAATCAAAAGTTTAGAAATGTATCAAAGTCTTTTTCCTTAAATTGATTCAAGTGAAGTCAATTTTTAATTAGGCATATCCTCAAGCTTCTCCCCACATATTTTCTTTTTCTTTTATTTTTTCTTTTCTTTTTTTTTCTTTTTTTTTGTATGGATTACTATATCTGGATAGCCTTTAATGATTTTGAACTTCACTATCATCTTCATAAAGTTAAAAACTTTTTACATTTCTTCACTTAACAATACATTTCTTCA